GGCCAACGTAATACAGAACCCCTGAAGTGTACACATAATTCCCAGTGACTAAAATTCCTTTTCTAGAACGGAACCCTAAAAGGAAATCATGTGGGAGATGTCTGATATTGGGAAGCCGAGTTCTTCAGATTCAGGGTGAGACCCTGTACCTCCTCGCCAGAGAGAAAAAGCTAGGATCCTCCTCAGCCTCAGAGACATCTTGCTAGAGTCACTGGATTAAGACGGATGTGCAATTTCTTAAGTATCCTCCTCCCCCGCCTTTTTCTTTATAAGTGAAGCCTCCGGGCTCTGCAGCCTGATGAATCAGCCACCACATTATATAACAAGATATGTGGGTGAGAAGCACGGACTGAGATTCTAAGGCAAGAAAACGGACACTAGGCCCCTTTGGAGGGACTCAGCCCAGGTGCCCTGAGAGATACTTTCTCTAGCTGCACAGCACGACATTTACTAGACTAAAAGTCCCTTCAATCCTCTCAAAACAGTAACCAACAATGGTAGAAAAGTTTTCCCAAAGAAACCTAACACAAACAAAAACTTATCGATAGGAAATATAAACAACATGCGATGCTACCTATTGCAAGGTTCTCTACAGTAACCTTTAAGGAAACAAATGTAAATTCATAACACGTAGGTAATGGATTTGAGAGACAAGCAAAGTACTAGGCATGGCTTAATATTTCTATAGCTAGGGAGTAGATATTCAACACGTATTAGTTCCACTTTATTTTTCTTCTTCTCTTTAGAAGGTCGGCTTTCCAGGAAGAAATACCCAGTTTTAAGAATCTCATTTTCCCCTTACAAGTCTTAAAAACAAACAAACAAACAACAAAAACAATCAACAGCTGAACAATAAAACCCACCGCTATTGAATCAATTCTGACTCATAGCGACTTTATAGAACAGTCACACTGCCCCCGAGGGGCCTCAAAGTAACACATCTTTATGGAAGCGGGCTGCTGTGTTTCAAGTTAGTCACTGAGCACCTAACCACTTTGCAGCCAGATTTCCTTTAAAAGCTATCCATTTGTTCAATTCAAAAAAGAGAGAAATATGGTTTCATTTGTTTGTTTTTCCAGAATTAAGTCAACGGCTGACCTGAATTTAAGTCCCGTCCTGGATTGAAGGCCCGGCTGTTAACGGTATTTGAAAGTCGATCACAACTGACCGTTCTGGACACGTTGGTGTTAAAGTTGCCATCAAATCTGAAACAACAGAAGAAAAAATATCACAAAGTTAGAAGAAGAAATTACTTTTCAGCTATCCAATTGGGGGAAAAAAGGGCAACAAAAACGATAGCTCATGCTTTGTACAAAAAGGGACACAGATGTAAACAATAATGATTTGAATTTAAAATAAGGAAAAAAATCACTTCAGAGCATTATGGGAATACACAGCAGCTGTATTCAGAAGGCTTTCAGTAATCAAGTTCAAATTCTAAAGATTAAAAAAAAAAAATCCTTAAGGCCATTTTCCCTCCAAACATCTGAGTTAGGACCTATTGAGATCATATAGAAAATAGATCTGACAACATTCAGACTGGAATTGCAAGATTCCATATTGCATTTTGATGTTATAGACTAAGCAGAAATACTTCTTTAAATGACCACAGGTGAAAGACAATGGGCAATGGCAACACCGACAGAATGGATGGCGGTGAGGGAGGGAGGAAGACTCCGGAGGAGTCCAGGCCTGCCACTTATCCCGTGTGACCTGCGCTTTGTGCTGCAGCAAGCAGCAACCTCTAACCATGTAACAAGAAATCATGGCACCCCCGCTTACTTGTCGATACTAAGAATATCGTTAAGTGAATTTAACTCAGAAGTAACAGAGGTTCAAATCTTAATCTTCTAATGAACCTAAATAGGATTTCAGATCCTAATGTGATTCAAGAAGGTCCTCTGTGTTGGCCAAATAAACTCAACTTAAAATTACTTAAAAACAAAACATATTCAGATGTAAACCTCCAGCGATAAACGCCATTTATGAAACTCCATTACTAACAGAGGTAGGGACACTACACCTGGAAGAAACACTCCTAAAAATCATGTGCATTTGATTATTCATAAATCATCTGGTCATCTTTTGATCACATTTCATAACATTTAAGAATGATCAAATGGATCCAGTTTGAATGAGTAAGTGTGAGAGGGTTTACATGGCAAAAGTAGGAGAAGTCATTTTGTTTAGATGCACATCATTCAGAGTAGGAGCAAGTGTCTATTTTCAGAGACCTTCCGTCTGGCCTCTAACCCAGTGCGATTACATCAGCGGTGACCACTGTGTCTCAACGAAGGCAGTGGTTTCTCTAGCATGGCTGCTCTTCCTTGGACCTACTCCATCTTGTCTAGACGAGATGACTGCTGCCCCCAAAGCCACAGATGGAGAGAGATGGAGAGAGAGAGAGAAAGAGAGAGAAAGAGAGAGAGAGAGAGAGAGAGAAACAGAGCTGCAGCTGCTTGCGCGTGTGCCCGGGGTAAAACAACACCATTACAATCTCATTGTCCCTCCTTTCAGCATCGGAACACCTGTGAAGCAAGAGTGCCATCATCCAAGCAACTCTGGCTTGGTGTTTTAATTATTCAAGCAAACGAAATGGAATGGTGACATAGGTGCCCTTCACATGACTGGATTTGCTCCTGGGAAGAACTGGAGCTCTGAAGCTTGTGTCCCTGTGATCTAGTGACCTGGTGTCGTCTGGCATCGCTGGAGTCCTGGGGGTGCCCTGGTTAAAGTGGTCGGCAGATTGAACACACCAGCTAGCTGCTCAATGGGAGAAAGAAGCAGCAGTCTAATTCCATACAGATCTGTACCTTACACACTCATGGGGACCATTCGCTCTGTTCTACGGGGATTCCAGGGATCAGAACGGATTCAGCAGCAAGTGGGTTTGGTTTGAGAACACTGTACTCTCTTTCTTAATGAATATATTACACTGCCTCTTGAGTAATTAACAAATAAATCACCATGACCGTTAATTATCCAACACAGTTGATGTAGAAGCACACAATTGCCTCAAAGCAAAGAATCATTCTAAAAGATTCTAGGGCAGCGGTTCCTAACCGGTGGTTTGACCGCTTTGGGGGTCGAACGACCCTTTAACAGGGGTCGCCCGATTCATAACAGTAGTAGCAAAATTACAATTATGAAGTAGCAACGAAACCAATTTTATGGTCGGGGTCACCACAACACGAGGAGCTGTATTAAAGGGTCTTCGTGGCATTAGGAAGGTTGAGAACCAGTGTTCTAGGGCTACAAGGGAAATCTGTTTCTACTTAAATAACCCTAAGTGAGATTCTCACGGAAAGGGGTAGAGAAAGATCCCCATGGCCAACGATGAGGTCACTAAGGAAGGGGGAGAAAGGTCAAAGGCAGCTCTTTTCTCTTTATTAGCGCTACCCTCGAGAGCTCACCATGGGCACGGCGTGGAATTGACAACTCTCTGCTGACCTGTTGTTATTTATGTCTATCTGAGTCTTGAACTCCCTTCCCATTCGTTCCTGAAATTGAGAGGCTCCTAGGAACCAGTGGCAGAGAGAAGGTTCAGGTGAGAAGGAGGGGTGAAATACACCTCTCTGTGCAGGGAAAAGGGAAGACGTGCACGGGGCCATCTCCGGCTGGTTTTCCTGTGCATCTCTCTTACTACCATTGAGTTGATGCTGACTCATAGCGACCCTAGGACAGGGCTGAACTGCCCCTGTGATTTCTGAGATCTTTCTCCTGTGGAGCAGCTGGCAGTTTCGAACCGCTGGCCTTGGCACAGATGAGTGAATGCATATTAAACAGTGCATGAAAACAGAGCTGATACCAAGGGCTCAATAGAAAGTAAATGTTTAGAAAATGATGATGGCAACATATGTACAAATAGGCTTGGTGCCGTTGATGTATGGATTGTTCTAAGAGCTGTAAGAGCCCCCAGTAAAATAATTTTTACTAATAATTAAAAAAATAGTGCATACCCAGTTTTGAAGTATAAAAATTTGTATGAAAGTGGTAACTAATACACTGTTCTATCACTTATGAACAAGAGTAATAAAACAAATAAGAAAATCAAAACCCTCCCTCCAAAAAAGAGGAACACAAAATACATTCTTTTTTTTTTTTCTTTTAAAAAAATCATTTTATTTGGGGCTCATACAACTGTTATCCCAATCCATACACACATCAATTGTGTAAAGCGCATTTGTACATCGTTTCTCAAAACATTTTCTCTCCATTTAAACCCCCGACATTAGGTCCTCATTTTTCCCCTCCCTCCCCGCTCCCCCCTCCCGCATGTGCCCTTGATAGTTTATAAATGGGTATTTTGTCATATCTTGCCCTGTCCGACGTCTCCCTTCATCCACTTTTTGATTGTCTGTCCCCCAGGGAGGTGGTCACACACAGTTCCATGTAATCGGTTCCCTCTTTCCTACCCATTCTCCCTTTACCCACCCTGTTTTGCCACTCATACCACTGGTCCTATAGGGCTCATCCGTCCTGGATTCCCTGTATTTTCAGTTCCCATCTGTACCAGTGTACCTCCTCTGGTCTAGCCAGTCTTGCAAGATAGAATTCGAGTCATGGTAGTGGGAGCGGGGAGGAAACCTTTAGGAACTAGAGGAAGGTTGTATTTCACAAAATACATTCTTGTGAATGAGAATCTGCTGGGACTCATGGTTTCCCTGCAGCCAAAGCGGATGGGAAACCACAATGGGATAAATACGTGTCCCTGGTGAAAAAAAAAAAAAAAAAAGCCCAAGAGCTGGCGATGGAATTACTCCTCAGGTACTTCTCAAATCGTATAGTGCATGATGGGTGATGAATGACCTAATGGGCTGCATCCACTACGTGAATGAGATCACCCACGGGCAAAGCAGCACACTGACTCACAGCCCCCAAAAGCCTGGCGCGCTGTGCAGAAGGCATGCAGCCGGCCAGAGACTTCTCCCGAGACCATTTTCGCTCCCTGGGTAACTGGCGGGTCATAAACATGGGGTGGTTTGAAATGAATTGATCCA